CTCTTTCCTATAGTTCTACCCCTTTCTAAAATCAATTTAAATTGGTCGCTTCTAACATGGCCCCAGAGTAGCATAATGATAAAACCATTCATGTGTTCACACCAACGTTGCCTCATACTGTTGCTGCACTTTCTGCAGCCCAAGATTGTGATCACTTGCTTCAAATGCCGCTGCCATGAGAAATTTCACACTGATATCTTCAGGTGCAAGTTTCTTATGCCCAGAGCAGTCCATCAGCGCCAATTTCAAAATTTGAAACAGGACTATCACCGAATTCCTGATCTGCTGGTTGGTCACCATCTAGTGTATCCACGTAAGGTTTTGAGAGATCAGAAGATCTTTCAGTTGGGATTCCATAATCTCTCAGTATGGACGATGAAGCAGCAGCAGTAGCTTCTCTCTCTAAAACAGCTACATAGCTATCTTCAAATTCGAAACGCAGATACCTGTCCTCGCATGCTGAGCAAGACAAAAGTAATGGAACAACCCTTTGACTATGGTAAAAGAAAATGAATGCACAATAGATTAAGGTAAGATAAACAACTTACAATCAATGAGGTGCGCCAGGTGATGAATGTTTTTAATTCGAGTTCCATTGAATTTTACAACCTGAAAAAAAAAAAAAAAAACATTTTAGAGAAACGTAAATTAAGTATGAAGCTGTGAAGGTCAATCTCACGTATGAAAATGACTTGCCTGCTGATTGCCCATATCTTCATAACCTATGTTGACTTCATTTGCCAAGACCTATCAATCAGTAAGAAGCAAAGCAAAATTAAACCACATAAAGCAACTAAACATCTGATTAGAAAATTATAAATGTTATGATATTGTTGAACAAATTAATAAGATAAGATCAAGGTAAATAAAAAAGTAAATGTCATATAAGATGTGCAAGAAACTCAAGAATACAATCAAGCAAAATATGCATAGTTTTTTTATTAAAAAAAAAAAAAAAATCTGGCACCCAACCTGTGAAAGAATTACAATTTGCTCCCCTTTAAACTTTGCCAATGAATACCGTGCCCTAGCCAATAATTTTAGCTGATCGAGGAAATAAAATAAAAGTCAATCACAAACTAATTGGATTTCAACTTTTTGCTTTAAGGCTAACCTATACAAATTCAGAACATACCCCTATAGAGTCTTCGCATTCTTCCCTGCCAAAAGTTTCATAATGAATTAAATACTAGTTCAGAACACCCAACTAAAAAAAGGAAAGAACAAAACACAGTAAAATCTGCCAAGTATAATAAATACAACTTACTCAATCAATGGCTCTGAGAGGGGTGTGAACACTAAACCAGCTATTATTAGATAGGAAGGCTGACCTTCATCAATGTGATAGGGAACCTTGAAAGAGAGGGAAAAAAATTAAGTTGCAAAACAAATAGCATTAGATCAACAATATCATGAAATTGATTGATACCAAAATTCAATGATATATCACATACCAAATGAACTCGTGAGTTTAAAACAACTTTAGCTTTCATTAATGTTCCTGCTCTGATGATACCAAGCTCTGCAGTATCACCTGAAAATCTGTATAACGCCATTACTCTAGAATTCAATTTTAAGAACATCAACGGCCAAGAAAAGCAAATGCCAAAGGCTCTGAAACTTGTTTCATCATATTGTCAGATGAAGCCTTATCGGAAGCTACCCGATAAACTACCTAATAATTATATCCAATGTAGCATGCATTAAACAATTTCCAGTTTTTTACAGAAAAATTCTGAAGTATTATATCCTCAATAACCACAAAATTTAATGTTTATAATCAAATAACTAACACAGAAAAAGCCGGGGAATGGTTAGCAAAGTATATAAGGGGTTGTTTAGTTTGAGTTTTCTTTTTTTTTTTTTTTTTCTGTTTTCACTTTTAATTACAAAAATGGCACCTTATTTTCACTTTATTTTCTGCTTTCAAAAGTTTAGTATATAAAACAATGAAAACAACTTTTTATTGTTTTTTGTTTTTACTATTTCCTATACAAACTTTTGAAAACAGGAAATAAAGTGAAAATAAAGTGGCATTTTTGTAATTAGAAGTGAAATCAGGAAACTAAGGTATTCATATCGCTGTTAGAAGTGTATGTGGTTTGTATCGCATGCTAAAATGTATTTAATGCTCACGGGTATTAGAGCCTAGGAATTTGCATCAATTTTATAATCCTAAGGAATAGTCTTCACTATTCTCTATATGGATGATATGTAGAACCTATGTACTTCTATGAGAATAAAAAAAATCTTATCATTCTCTAAATTCTCTCTCACTCGCTCACTCTATCACTACATTTGCCCCTCTAAATCCAGTGATTGCCAAGTTGGAAGCTCACAGATATAGCCTTCGTATAAAGTTTATCAGCAAAGTATAGTATGATAATACTGAAATTAAGAGAATGAAGCTCTTACTTTTGACTAATGAGGAAGTGGAAGGCAATTCGCTCATTTGATCTGAATGGGACTGTTCCTTCACAACCAACACGAACATCATCAAAGCTGACAATCACATCACCCTGTAATGGAAAGTTTGATCTGAAAAGTTAATGCATCTACCAATGGGATTTAGAAAAGTGGAATTCATATGTACCACCCAAGGTGCATCATCTACTAACACTTTACTTTAAAATGTTTATGACAAAGAATAACCAAATAAATTTTACCTATGAGAGGACATGAATGATTTTTAAACAAGGATGATAAAGAAGACATGCTCAAAGCAATGGGCAGTTTAGACACCTCATGGTTATTAAACAAGGATGATAAAGAAGACATGCACACAGCAATTGATAGTTTAGACACCTCAAGGATAGGAACTTTCAATTTTCAAACACAATCAAATTTCGTGCTAATATGCAGACCCCAAAGCTAGCTCATCCTTTTATTTCCAATAAACAAGTAGCATTCCTTAAATTTGTCCGTCCCCTTTAGACTCCATTATGAACTAGGCATTTAAGCAGAGAAGCCGAGTAGAATATTTTAGAGGAATGATTCAAGGTTTTAGTTGTCTGTCCACTCATGCTTTCATGGACAATATCTTGCAGGTTAAATATCCACATTACCTCCTTTAATACATTATTTGCATCAGATGTTGGTTCAACTCTACGTACCAATACACCCTGCAAATGACAATGTGAAATATCAAATTTAGTGCTATGAGATTATTATTGAAACTAAAGGGTTTAAATGTGGGTAAAGGAAAAGAGAGAAAAAGAACACAAAGAACAAGATTTTGTTGATATGGTATGTGAACTGTGATGATGAGATACAAAATACTTCCTCAATGTTCCCATTTATATTAATAATTTGGTAAAGTTCTAGTGTGGTACAAGCCCAATCCACCGATACAGTAAGACTAGTAACTGTAATTAATAAGCAAACGACTCGTGAGATATAATAAAATTTGGAAACCACTCCTAAGATATCATCTAAGATAATCCAAAATGTTCTAAAAGATTATTAAGAGATTAGGAGACTATTTTTTAGATATTCTAAAATTCTCATTCAAGCTAAAGCTTACTAATCTTTAAGCTTATTATATTATAACTGAACACTTAAGAAAGAAAATAACACAAAATTTAAAGTGGGCTTCCACAAAGCATGGAAAGAAAAGAAAACTAAAGGATGCTAGAGACAACGTAGAGATGAGAATAGCCAGACAGATAACTTAGCAAGACAGGTAAAATGATCTTCAGCTAAAAAAACTTGTTAGAATATTGCATGACCAAGGAATAAGAATCTTCTAAAAAAAAAACTGCTCAGCAGAATATTTCTGCCTCAGCAACAACTATAACTTTTTCAAGCTAGTCAAGAACAGCATTTGGAAGTTTCAAGCAGTAGCATAGAGGAGAGTGGGGACTCAGTCATAATTGAAATTGATGACTGTCAACACTACAGAAACAGAAAATACCACTGATATGATTCATGGTGGGAAGAGAATATCACAGCATATACTGTTTTATGGGCATAACACTAATTAAATATTTTATACTGGCATATGCATATACTGTTTATAAGAGTTGAAGTAATATCAAATGTGATATAAAGACATGGCTACAAAAGATCATTTGGGAAATCAAATAGTATTTTAGGAAATAATAAATTAGGAAATTTGTATATTTCCTTGTAATCTGTACAGATTTGAATAATTAGGTACAATCCCATAAATCAAGGGATTCTAGAATAAAATAGAGTTATTATATTTCCTAAAATAGCATAGGTCTCCTGTATATATCTTGTATGATCTCTTTGTATTATGAAATAGAAAATCAGTTTTCATTTAACCTAATTTTCCAGATGGTATCAGGGCTTCTGACCTAGGAAGCTTTGTCTGCGCACTGTAAACCCTAAATTGGCAGCCTGCATTGCTGCTGCATTTTTTCCCTAACCCGAAGACGGCAGCCTGCATTGCTGCTGCATTTTTTCTAACCCTAAGACGGCAGCCTGCATTGCTGCTGCATCTTTCCCTGCTATTTTCTCTGTGCCTTAATCGCACAACCTTTCCTTTTATTCTTCACCACTCAGCCACCTTGCTATAATGTCAGGGGAAAAGGAGGTTGTGAACCCAACCCCAGAAACAGGGAATACCCAATCCCAGCAACCTGGAGAACTGCAGAATATTCATTCTGCATATAGACTAAATGAAAGAAATTATTTGAAGTGGGCCCAACTTGTTCGTACAGTGTTGAAGGGAAAAGGGAAGTTGAGTCACCTGACGGAGTATGGACCTAAACAGGAGGATCCCAAGTTTACTACATGGGATGAGGAAGATTCAATGATCATGGCGTGGCTGTGGAATTCAATGATTCCAGAAATTAGTGACACCTGCATGTTCCTTAACTCAGCAAAAGAGATTTGGGATGCAGTAGAACAAACCTACTCTAAAGCCAAAGATGCTGCTCAAGTATATGAAGTAAAGGTGAAAACTTTGGCAGCAAAACAAGGGAACAAGACTGTTACAGAATATGCCAATCAGCTGAAATCATTATGGATGGAGCTAGACCATTATAGAGTCATAAAAGCCAAATGTACTGAAGATTCAGCACTTCTCAAGGACTATATCGAGCAAGACAGAGTTTATGATTTCCTTGTTGGTTTGAATCCTGAATTTGATCAAGTAAGGATTCAAATATTGGGGAAGCAAAAGGTACCATGCTTCAATGAAGTGGTGGCTATTGTGAGAAGTGAAGAAAGTAGAAGGAGTCTCATGTTAGAGAGTCCAGCAGTAGAGAACTCAGCAATGGTGGCTGACCATAAAGGAGATCACACTTTGGCCATGATAGCCGAATAGAAGAAAGGAGGATCAACAAATGTGGACAAGAAAGATGATGGTCTATGGTGTACCTACTGCAATAAGCCCCGTCATACTCGAGAGAAGTGCTGGAAGTTGCACGGGAAGCCTTTAAATCGAGACCGAGAAGGGGGATATAGAGGAGGCTCCTCAAGGAAAGGAGGACAAGTTTATGTTGCTGCTGGAACAAATGAAGAAAAAAAACTAGAAGCTACTGCCCATCTTAACCAAGAGGAGATAGAGAGGATGAGAGCCCTCCTTAGTAAGCTGGAAAAACAAACAGGTGTGTGTTCTTTGGCATACTCAGGTAAGTTTCCACTTTCTTTTGGATTAAATGTCTCAGATACACCCTTTAACCACTATTGGATATTGGACTCTGGAGCCACAGACCACATGACACCATTAGCCAAACACTTCTCCACATATTCACCATGTCCTAGCAACAAGAAAATTGCCACAGCAGATGGAACCCTTATAACTGCAGCTGGTCAAGGAAATATACAAATCAATCCTTTAATAATCTTAAAAGATGTTCTCCATGTCCCAAAGCTTTCCACCAACCTAGTCTCTATACAAAAACTTATAAAGGATTTGTCATGTAATGTTGTTTTTTACAACGATCATTGTGTATTTCAGGACAAGGATTCGGGGAGGACGATTGGACATGCTAGAGAATGGAATGACCTTT